TACCTTTCCCCACTCCCACCCCCACCCCCCCACCCACCAATAACTCTGTAATTAGAGATGTTCTCTTGGGGTGTGGTTGTGCACACCTTTGACCCTAGCACTTGGGAGGCAGAGGCATGTGGATCTGAGTTCTAGCCATCCAGGCTGCATGGGTGAAATACTGCCTAAAAAAAAAAAAAAGGTGTTCTCAGTTAAGATGATAGGATTTTTATCCATAGTAAATTGTTCTATTTAGTTATTTTGTGTCTTTTATTTTCCTTAGGTATTTATTTGTTCTTCAGTTAAGACAAGATATTCTCAGTGGGAAGTGAGTATTAAATTATTTAGTACATAACTGCAAAATTCTTGAATAGTAGGAAGATAACCTAGAAAATAAGTTCAGCGCAGGGCTACAAGATGATGGCTTAGCAAGAAAAGGACCTGAAGTTGCATCCCTAGCACCTATGTAAACCCCAGGAGCACTGTGGCATCTGTAACCCCAGTGCTAGAGGCTCACTGGCCAGCCACTGTAGCCAAAACAGTGAGCCCCACACTGTGGGAAAAACAGTCCCCTGGAAAGGAACAGAAGAAGATTCTCGACATGGCCCTTGGGTCTCCACATGCTCAGTGTAGGCAAGTGCACTTACACACATACAAATAAGTTCAGAGTTGTCTAAAGCCAGGGTTCAAGATGCAATGTATATTACTGTTATTTACCTTAAAGATTATGAAAGTGACTAAACCAATTTGTGTTTTGATCTCAGATTAGAGTGTCCCTTTGATACAGCAGTTCAGTTGGCAGCTTATAATCTGCAAGGTAAGTGATTCTTGTGCTTGATAAGCCCAAAGCATAATTCTTTTGTGTGCTGCATGTCTAAGGTATAAAGAATAACATGACAACAGACTAGAAAAACATGTACAGCACTTGTTTTTGTGTAACATTGTATCAGTGTCCAACTCTTGACGTCTGATTTGCTTTGTTCTAAAATACTTTTTAAAAATTACTGTTTTCATTGCCTTTTCCTCTCAATTCTTTGCTCTTTTAAATTTTTAAAAATTTATTTTTATTTTATATGCATTGGTGGTTTTATCTTCTTGTGTGTGTGTGTGTGTGTGTGTGTGTGTGTGTGTGTGTGTGTGTGTGTGTGTGTGAGATCCCCTGGAACTGGAATTATAGACAGTTTCTAGCTGCCATGTGGGTTCTGGGAATCAAACCTAAGTCCTGGAAGAGCAAGTCAGTACTCTTTAACTGTCGAGCCATGTCTGTGGCCCCTGGCCCTTCCTTCCTTCTTTTCTTCCTTCCTTCCTTCCTTTCTTTTTAAATTTATTTTAAGTATATAGGTATTTTGTCTGCTGTTATGTCTGTGTACCATGTGTATGCCTGGTGCCCATGGAGGGGACAAGTGTTCATTGATTCCCCAAATAGAGTTACAGACAGTTGTGAGCTGTCATGTGGGTTCTGGGAATCGAAACCAGGTCCTCTGGGAGAGCAGCCAGTGAGCCCAACTGATGTGCAAGCTCCTGTTCTTTTCCCATCTGTAATATTTTGAAACAATTTGCAGTCTACCTGATAATTGAATAAATGTTAAGATTGGTCCCAAGCTGATTGTTTTCCATAAAGAGAATGCAGAGACATGATAGTAAATTATCATGGTTGTTGCATGGCTGGCTTTTTTTCACTTCTCTTACAAATGAATTCATGAAGAATCAGAGTGTACTCAAACAGGATCAGGTCATTGCACATTTAAAAGCACCTGTTGGTCACTTTAAGGTGTTTCTTAATAAGGTTAGTCGGAAACTTACCTAATACTTCAATTTAAGTATTTTCTCCTAAAAGTTGACAAAATTTTAAAGGAAAACTATAATTTGAGTCCCGTTTCACTTATTGAAAGAAAAAAATTTCTGTAATATCTCTCTATATAATGTAATTAGAGTTACATTTAACATGCTCAGGACTTTAGGTTATACATTTATTCTAAGATCAATAGTGTTTCTCACTGTGTAGATAATAAACCAAATTTGCATGTTTTACAGTAAACATAATATTCCTGCTTCTTTTACATATCCATTATTAAAGAAAGCATATTTTCCTGGTGATGACATTTTTATCTACTTGATTTTTTTTCACTATTGTAATCTATCTCCTAATTAAAACTTGTTTTCTAGCTACATAAATGAAGGGAAGGCATTAGTTTGAAAATGCTATCTATATTGTTTGTCCCTTGTGACAACCAAAGTATTTGCTTAAAAATAGAGTTTATATGGGACTGGGGAATGTCGCTTGGTGAGTGAGAGTTCTTGATCTGCAGATAGAGAGATACCAATCCCTGGCACACACATAAAGATCAGCAAAGGCTCCTAGAATTTTGGAGCTTTGACAGTCAGATCCAAGAACTTGATGGCCATCCAAACACCTGGACTTAATAAGGCAATGAGTGAGAAAGCAATAGAAGGAGACACCTGACATCCTCTTCTTGGCTCTGCATGGGCAGGCATAAGTGTGTACACTCAAGCACTCAAGTACATACCCTCACACGGACACACTCGTACACACGCACACAAATGTGTATGCGCACACATAGGGTTTATAAAGTTTTTTTTGTTTCATATTCTAAAACATTTGACTCACTAGTGCTCAAAGCATTAGTCATCCTAGAGAGGATAGGAACTCCAAATGAGTGGTTACCATTATTATTCATTATGGAAAAATAATTTCTTTGTATTTTTTCCAATTTTTTTGTATTAATAATTTTGCATTCCAGACAAGTATTGTATCTTGTAATATGGTGATACATACTGTGCATCTTGGGTAGTCTTTTACAGATAGCAGCTGATTATCTTAAGAATTAATAAAACAAAGATTTTTTTTCTCTTTGTAAATACAGAAATCTATTTTCAAAAGCTAAGCATTAATAGATGAATAAATTAGGAGTAAGGTATAAGAAAGAATACACCAACAACAAATGTGGTTTATGTTGTCTTACTCTTCTATTGACATGACAAAATATCATTACCAAGGCAACTTACAAATGAAGCATTTAATTTGGCACTCGGAGTTCCAGAAGGTTAGAGTCCTTGACTATCATGGCAGGGAGCTTGGCAGCAAGCAAGCAGGCATGGCACTGGAGTAGTAGCTGAGAGCTCACATCTAATCCACAAGAATGAGGCAGAGAGAGGATAACTGGGAATGGCATGGAAATTTTAGACCTCAAAGCCCACCCCCACTAATACACCTCTAACAAGGCTACGGCCTAATCCTTCCCAAATGATTCCACCAACTTTGGACCAAGCATTCAGATATTTGAGCCTATGGGAGCCATTCTTATTTGGAGCCACTGCATTTGTGTGTAGCCCAAATATTAGATCTAATCCAGATTTATTGGGGGAAATGGTTTAGGCATTGTGAATGGCTGGTAGCTTAAGAAAGAATTTTACTAATCCTCTTAATCTTTGTTTACAAAATATGTTGCTTATAAAGGATTTTCTTAAAGGTTTTCTCTGTGTCGCCCTGGCTGTCCTGGCATCCACTCTGTAGACTAGGTTGGCCTTGAATTCACAGAAATACGTCTGCCTCTGTCTCCAGAGTGCCTTGCTAGTATTTTCTTAGGTTATTTTTTTGTTTGTTTGTTTTGTTTTTGTTTTTTGAGACAGGGTTTCTCTGTGTAGCAGCCCTGGCCATCTTGGAACTCACTTTGTAGACAAGGCTGCCCTCAAACTCAGAGATCTGCCTGCCTCTGCCTCCCAAGTGCTGGGATTAAAGGTGTGTGCCAACACCGCCCGACTTTTCTTAGTATTATTAACACAGCATAACTTTGTTAACTTGTGTTTGTAGCTGAACTTGGTGACTATGATCTTGCTGAACATAGTCCTGAACTTGTCTCTGAGTTCAGGTTTGTGCCCATTCAGACAGAAGAGATGGAACTGGCTATTTTTGAGAAATGGAAGGAATACAGGTAACTCATAATTTGATCACACTTTTTAAAACATCACCACTGTCATTATTTTGTATTCTTTTGTTTCTACTTTCATTAAAATTCACTTTATGCTTATTATCTTATAATTACTATATTTTAAATTTCAGAGGTCAGACACCAGCACAAGCTGAAACCAATTACCTGAATAAAGCCAAATGGCTAGAAATGTATGGAGTTGATATGCATGTGGTCAAGGTAAGCCCTATTTTGTAGTATCTTTTTAAAACATTTATTCCTAGGGCTACAGGGATGGCTCAGCAGTTATGAGCATATGCTGTTCTTGTAGAAGTCCTGAGTTCAGTTCCCAGCACCTGTGTCGAGCTACACCCAAATACCTGTAACTCTCATTTCCAGGGATTTCATGCCCCCCTTCTGGATCCTGTAGGTGCTTGTACTCAATGTGTCTATACACATAATTTAAAATTAATAAAAATAAATCCTTTTTAAAAAATTAATTCATTTCTCTGAGATTTTTAATGCAATTATGAAATTTTATAGTATGAGGGAAGGCATGGAATTTGTATTGAATACCTCTGAGTATTTTTGATGTGTGGTAGGTAGCAGAAAAAATGGTTGAAATTAGATATCGAAAGACTAGAATCAGCTGGGGGTGGTGGTGTATGCCTTTGATCCCAGCACTGGAAGGCAGAGTGGGATCTCTGTGAGTTTGAGACCAGACTGGTCTACAAAATGAGTTCCAGGACAACCAGGGATATGTAGAGAGACCCTGTCTCAAACCAAAAGACTAGAATCTATAGAAAGATTCCAGAAATGTATATGGATGTTTGTAAGATGTTGATGTTTAAGGTGAGAAAAACATTTTTTAGTTTCAGCTCACTTTTTATCCTTAACTATTTGATGCTGTTTTATATCACTGAAGCTAAAAGAAAAAATAGGTAGGAAGCAAGGTTGATGCTTCGTAGCTTGAAGAGGATTATTTGCTGAAAGCATCTTGAATATAAATATGGAGGGGGACAGTTGTGTGAAAACCTGAAACCTCTTTCTTGTGTACAAACATAATGTATTTTATATTTTCTCCTTAAATTAGGCTAGAGATGGGAATGACTATAGCTTGGGACTAACTCCAACAGGAGTCCTTGTTTTTGAAGGAGAAACCAAAATTGGCTTGTTCTTCTGGTAAGCAGTGTGAATATTGTTTTTAACGAGTCAAATGATTTATATCGTTAATCATGAGAAGTTTCCAAGTGAAGCTATATTTCACAGTCCTGTAGCTCTGTATCCCACTAGTGTCAAAAGTGTGTCAGTGTGTGTCTCATGTTTGTGTACATATGAAATGTTCTTTCCACAATGACCCCTCTATGAGGTTCTCACTGTTAGTATTGTTCAAGGCCTCTCTTATCTGTGGCAGAAAAACGAAGGAGATGTTAGTGCTTCTGCTCCTCCTGCTGTCAAGTTTAACTCTTCCTCTTCCCTGCCTGTTTCCATGCTGAGAGATGGTGCACAGGTTTCATGGCCCTAAAGCATTGAGTTGGGAAATTGTTTGCATTATTACATTTTTGTTAGAACTAATGCAGCATTTAGGCATATATTACAGACAAGAGCTAAAGATGGCCCATGTTACTTCTTTTGTAACATTCCATGACTGTTGCCTTCAAGCCTTCCTACCCAGACTCATTCGTATTTAGGTGTTACTGGTAAAAATAGAAAAGATGACTCTAATCAGTGATATTTTCTTTTATACCCTTAAAAAAAAAAAAAAAAAAAAAAACGCTTAGTGGCTTTTGTTGTATTTAATACCTGTGCTGTTTAACTCTGAAATTTTTACCAAGGATTACAGAATTTATTGTATCACATTAGGGGTGTGCAAAATACGTATATATCTCATTTCCTTCATATTTTAATATCTGGTATATGGGCAACATCAGTTTGTCAGTTGGTTGCTTTTGAAGTATGTGTTAGCCTTCCCTTTAGAGACTAACCTTCTTACCAGTGTTTGGAAATAAGGAGACATGTTTGATATAGAGAAGAATTTTCCCCTGATCTGGCTGTTGATTTCATATTATTACAGGCCCAAGATAACCAGATTGGATTTTAAGAAGAATAAATTAACCCTAGTGGTTGTGGAGGATGATGATCAGGTAGGAATTGTCCTGTATTGTGTACTTAACAGTAGTTATATGGTAACAAATGGGGATGTGCTTCATAGAACAAAACTTAGCATTGCTTATACTTGGATGCAAGTTCCTCATTCAGGTCATACCATCCTAAAAATGTACTTTTGTGCCTTTAATCTTAAAGATAATATGAAATAACCATTTATTATTTCTTTGTTGATAATGTATCTGTAGTGTAGAAAGGTTACATTTAGATGACTCTATTCCTTAATTCCTGATAAAAGTGTTAAAAGAACAAACCAGTTGCCTTTTATCTGAACACTTTGGAGGCAAGTACAGGTGGATCTCTGAGTTTAAGGCCAGCCTGATCTACAAGAATGCTGGCCAGTGAAACCTTGCCTCAAAGAAACAAATAAAAAAAGATACACCTGGAGGTATTTTTTTTTACAATAAAATGTGATTTGATTTTTTTGTTTAACTTTCTTTTTTATATAATTTCAGTATTGTCCCATTTTAAAATGATTTTTATATACTTCTCTTAGTTTTTATCATATTTGGGCATATTTTCATGTTCCCATTCAGCTTATAATTGACTTTTTGGTTGTATTTATATAGGATGTGATAAGCTGTAGGTAACAGTCAAGTTGTAATCAATCTTTCTGAAAATTGCATATATTAGATTTTACTGTTTTGACTCCTTTAAATTGTTAGAGAGCAGATAAATAGTATATTGTATTGTGATAATAGACTTCTTCTATTTTTTTCTGTTGTTATTGAGGATATATGTGGACCTGATTAAATATAGTAACTAGCCAAAAGAGTGAGACTGTAGCTTAAAGAGAGGCCATTAGATAGCTATACATTTTTTTTTCTTTTAATTTTTTAATATTGACATTAGACAGGTCACTTTTGTAAAACTATCTCTGAGTTTTTTTTTGGTGTTAGATAAATGAAATGATAGTTTATCAAAAAAATGGGTTAATGGGAAGCACTGCTATTCAATTAGTACACTTTGATTTTCTTGTTACAAACCTGTTCATTTATTAAACAGAAAAAGAATTTTTGTCGCTGATACTATGTGATGCTTTTTTACCTCACAGAATGAATGAGAAACATTCATATTCTTAGGGGAATTTGAATGCAGTGGATTGTCCATGGAGACGTTATTTTAATAGTGTAGTTAGTGGTAACATAGGAATATATGATCTTAGCAAGTCTGCAAAATAGGTAGACACATGCTCATGATATTTTTATACAGAAAAATGATACATAACCAAGAAAAATAGAATTGATTATGAAAGAACTTTATAATACAATCAGTGAACATTTGATATGGTAAATAGTTTTATGTCTGGGTTTTTTAAAAGAAATTTTGTATTTGAGAATTTCATATCTGCATGTAATGTGTTTTCATCAAATCCACCCTTCATTGCCTCCCCATTAGTTCCTCCCATTCATCCATTTTTTCCATTTGTTTTGACAGTATTTCAAAGTACTGTGTGTGTTGTGTGATTTTGATCCCCCACCCCAAATCTGGTTTACATTTCCCTAGAAGTGTTTTGTAAAACAAAAGGTCCAGTCACAGAAGATGCAAAGGTTCTGGGTTCTATTTTGTTTTTAATGATATTTTAGATTCATATTTTGCTTAGTTCCTAGGAATTTACAGAACTGCCTTTGTATCTTGGTGAAGTTTGATGATCTTCAAACTTTCTTACCAAAAAGCATACAGTTTGGGCCAGTGAGGTGATGATGGCTCAGTGGTTAAAGGCGCTTATTTGAAAGCCTAATTAATGACTTGAGTTTGATTCTTGGGATCCCAGTGATGAAAGACAAAAACCAATTCAAATTATCTTCTGACCTCCATGAGTGTGCCATGGCACACACACCAGGCTGGTTTTTTTTTTTGGGGGGGGGGTCTCGAACTCAAAGAAATTGACCTGCCTCCCAAGTGCTAGGATTAAAGGTATGTGCCACCACAGCCTTGCAACAGGCTGGTTTTTTGGTTTTGTTTCTTTTTGTTTTTTGTTTTCTTCTATATCACGTTTTTGTTGAGCATGGAGTCTATACCTCTAATGGCAGAACTTTGGAGGTAGAGGCAAAGGGAACAGGAGTTCAATGGCTGCTTCAACTACAGTGAGACTCTGTTTCAGAAAAACAAAAGCAGACAACAAAAATAAATCCTTTACTCTCTAGAGGTGGACAGCTGCAAGGTGGTGGTAGTTATTTGGTTTTCAATTTTGAGGCAGTGTCTCAGTTTGTAGCCTAGGCTGTTTTCATAAGACACGCTGTCTCAGCAAATGTCCTGATCCTCTAGCCCTTACATTTTACAATACCTCCCTCTACTGCAATGTTCCCTGAGCTTTAAAATATAAGGGTTGTATTGTAAATATATTAATTGGGGTCCAGCACACCATGCCCAATTTGATCTCTGCATTTTGACCAGATGTGTCTTTCTGTAATTCTGTCTGTCTGCCTCCAGAAGCAGTTTCTTTGATGAGGGGTGAGTGCCACATTTACTTGGGGATCTAAAGATAATGTATTCATGATACAGTTTGAAGTTACACTGGTTTAGGAATGTGGCTGTAGTAGGTTCTTTAGATTCCATGCCCTCACCAGCCACAGGTAGTTGGCTGAGTTTACAATGCTAAATATGAATTCCTTTTAGTAAGAAGCCCTTAATTTCAGTTAAGTGACTGTTGGTTCCTGCCCAGATGTAAGTGCCATTGCTACACCTTTAGTAATATCTTACTGTGCTGGTCTTTGTTGTGATTTGTAGGCATTATAGCCAGATACAACTACTTAATTGCTTTTCTTTCTGGCAGCTTTTTTTTTTTTTTTTGAGACAGGGTTTCTCTGTGTAGCTTTGGAGCCTATACTGGCACTTGCTCTGGAGACCAGGCTGGCCTCAAACTCAAAGAGATCCTCCTGCCTCCTGCCTCTGCCTCCCAAGTGCTGGGATTAAAGGCATGCTCCACCAACACCCGGCACTTGGCAGCTTTTATGGCTCCTTCCAATTTACTGAGAGCTAGTCCTCAGGAAGGAGGCTTTCAGGTCAGATCCAAATTGATTCCTTCAAGTCCTGTGTCCAGAGTGTGTGGTGTCTTTAGTAATACAGAATTACCTTCTTTGTCTGGAAGGCACTAAAGGTAACAGCAATAGCCTACACTGTTTGGCATAAGAGACTCTTGGTTTCTCCTAACCAACTACTTGAAAGGAGCTTTTCCATGTCTAGTACCAGGGTTTTTTGTTAGGGTAGTATATAGTTTCAGAGGAAGGGAACGTTGTCACCCCAAATGGCCTAACTTAATTAAACTCTGTGTGTGTGTATAATCTTAAGTAAACATAAAATAATATATTTCCTGATGGCTTTTTCTAAAATCCTTAGTGTTATTTGTTGATTCCTTCCTTTTCCCCTTCATAAGAACAGTGTCTCTCCAGTGTTCCTGCCCCCACCATGGTCCCTTTTTACTTACCTGATTTACATGGTTTCTCCAGGTTGTATAATCTAACCTCTAGATTTGGTGCAAGAATCTGGGTCTGTGTTACTCACTCAGTATAATATTTTCTTGTTCAACTATTAACCTGCAAATTTCATTTCTTTATTCACAATGTGTTATGAGCACATATCCATTTGTTGGTTGGGTATTTGGGTTGTTTCCATTTCCTAGCTATTGTAAATAGAGTGACCATGAACACGACTGAGCAAATATCTGTGGAGTGAGATGGCAAGTCCTTTGGGTATGGGACAAAGAATGCTATAGTTAGGTCATATAATAGATTTACTTTTAGTTAGTTTGTTGTTGTTATTCATTTGTTTGTTTTGTTTTTGTGAATTTTCCAAACTGATTTCTAGAATGGCTGCATCAGTTTGCAGTTACACTAACAGTGAAGTAGGGTTTTCATTTCCCCAAATCCTTGCTATCATTTGTTGCTGGTTGTATCTTGACTTTAGCCTTTCTTTGCATTTCGTTGATTGCTAAGGATGCTGATCACTTAAAAAAATACTTCTTGGTCATCTTAATTTCTTCTTTTGAGAGCTCTGTTCAGATCATTAGGCTACTTTTAGTTGGGTTGCTTGTTTTCTTGACTGGTTTTTTTGGTTGTTGTTTTGTTCTATTGTATTTTGTTTTTGTTTTTCTTTCTATATTCTGGGTACTAGTCCTCTGCAGGAATATAGCTTGCAAATATCGTCTCCCACTCTGTGGGCTACCTCTTCACATAGCTGATTGTTTCCTTTGCTATACGTAAGCCTTTTAGTTTTATGAGGCCCCATTTTTCGGTTGTTGACTGTAACTATTCAGCTAATGGGGTCCAGTCCAGAAAATACTTTCCTATACCTATGTCTTTATAGGTCACTGTCTATACTTTCTCCTAGTATTCTTCCTTTCCCTCCTTCACCGCCCCCCCCTCCACCCCTGCCCCCAGACATGGTTTTTCTGGGTAGTCCTGGCTGTCCTAGAACTCACTCCCTAGGCCAAGCTGGCCTTGAACTCAAGAGAGCCACCTGCCTCTGCCTCCCTAGTGTTGGCATTCACCACATGCTTGGATGCCTTTTGGTACTGGTATGGTTCTATTTGTATTGCAGAAATAGGAGACATAACTGACTTAATAAATACTGCTTTTGTCTTTTTCAGGGTAAAGAACAAGAGCATACCTTTGTCTTTAGACTAGATCATCCAAAAGCCTGTAAACACTTATGGAAATGTGCAGTGGAGCATCATGCCTTCTTCCGTCTCCGAGGACCTGTCCAAAAGAGTTCTCATCGATCAGGATTCATTCGACTAGGATCACGATTTAGATACAGGTTAATTCCCTAAGTTTTGACATCAACCTCTCCTGCATACAGGCCAGAAAAGTTAAGCCAACACTGATTTTACTGAGGTAGAAACCAAGACAGAGAAACAAAGTGTGTTCCCAAAGATATTTACTGGCCAAATTATTTAAAGAAATAATGTTATTGTGCCAGGCAGTGGTGGCGCATGCCTTTAATCCCAGCACTCGGGAGGCAGAGGCAGGCGAATCTCTGAGTTCGAGGCCAGCCTGGTCTCCAGAGCAAGTGCCAGGATAGGTTCCAAAGCTATACAGAGAAATCCTGTCTCAAAAAAACAAACAAACAAAAAAAAATGTTATTGTTAATAATTTTTGACTAGGTGGGAAATCAGATATATTATTGATTTATATACTGGTACATTTTATATATAATAATCAGGCCACAATTTAGATCTTTGTAACAAGATGAATTCTCCATCTAACAGGTTATTCTCATACAGAAAATGTATGGGGTATTAGTATGAATAATATTGTGGCTCTCTATAAACCTGAAGACCAATTGCTTTTATTAACTACTTTGTCATATATTTAAAATGCTTCAGTTCATGTTATATCCGAGTAGCTGATCAGGTTGAGTCTTCAGAATGCCATTGCAGTCAATTAAAGAAGGGGTGACAGTGTCAATAATGTAACAAGTCAAACACAGAATTTTTAAGATAATTTTTGTTCTGCCCTTGTCAAAAATGCTAAGGCATTTTCTTCTTAGCTGGAAACCTACAAAGTACAATAGTAGGTTTTTTAAGTATTTCTGGAAAGTTTTTGTGGAAATAATAGAAAAAGTAACGAGTTAGGGCTGAGGACATAGCCCATTGGTAGAGTGCTTGCTAGCATGTATAAGGCCTGCAGTTTAATCTACAGGACCACAAAAGGAGAATTAACTGCAAGTCTTGTTTTGAATTACATATTTTGCATTGATTCGTGTGAATAGGAAATTAGAGGTTGTTTCCCTGAGAGCATGGGCATTCTCTACTCGTTTAATGTTTTAGGTGATACACATGCTTAGGAGAAATCCTGTATTGTTGATGTTATATATTTTACCAAAGCTTGGAGAATAAAAAACTATTTGGTGAAGAGAAAAAAAAAAAAAAACTATTGGGGTAGTAGTTCCCTTCTGGATGTTTCTTTGCAGGATAATCTGAGTGCAGACATCTTACTCCTGTGTCTGGTTGCCTCAGATTGTCTTACTTTTGTCTTGCCTCATTTATTTTAGTGGAAAAACAGAGTATCAGACCACAAAAACTAACAAAGCCAGAAGATCGACCTCCTTTGAAAGAAGGCCCAGCAAGCGATACTCCCGGCGGACCCTACAAATGAAAGGTGAAGTGCAGCCCTGTTCCAAAGGCTTGTCTTTCCTGACCACTCTTCATTTGCTAGCAGCCCTGTTGCTGGAGAGGAAGCTGCCTGAGTCTTCCTAAGTCTTTTTTAGTTAGTTAAAGCTATCCTTGTATGAGTTTCATAAACTACAATATAATGGCTCCTGTAATTAGCTGGGATTATTCTTGAAGTAAGCTCACTACTTCAGATGATGTTCTGGGCACTGTTTTTGTTTGCACTTAGTATATCTGCACTAGAGCAGTATTTTCTGTCTTTTGTCTTTCATATCTCATGATGAAATGCCTCTTCATCCCCTTGAATGTTTTTAATATTAGCATATAATGAATACATTAACTTTTTTGTTTTGTTGGGGGGGAGGGTGAGGGCATGCATGTGTACATGAGTGTCATTTTATGTACCATGTGAATGCCAGTGCCCTGAACCTGAAATTACAGACATTTGTGAGCTGCCATGTGGATGCTGCAACCTGAACCAGGTCCTCTGGAAGAGCAGCGATTCTCTCAACCTCTGAGTCACCTCTCAGCCCCAAAGAATTTTTCAGTAAAAATTATTCCATATTAGGCTGGTGAGATAAAGGTACTTTATAAATGGCTTAGTGGATAAAGGTGCTTACTGCCAAGTCTGATTGACCTAAAGTTCAGTCCCCAGGACCTAACTAGTGAAGGAAAACAGACTCCACAGAGTTCTTTCTCCTCTGACCTACGTATACACATCCCACACAAAGACACACAGTAAATGATACTGTTCCTATTTAATTTACTATTAGAAATTCTACTAAATAAAATTAAAATTTTTAGTTATAAATGTCTGTCATGCATAGATGTCTACAAATTCATAAATGTTATCTGCCACTTAGGATACTTCAACTCTGCAAGAAGAGCATAGTTTCCATTAACAAATTAAACTAAAAACTTGTATTTTGTTTCAAATTTGAATTTCTACTAAAATGCAAATTGGGTTTTAGCATGTCTGTCAGATCTTTATCATCAGTTGTCCAAAATATGCCATGACCTGATTACAGCAGTGTGGTTTTTTTTTTTATTTTTTCAAAATGACTGCTCCATACTCAATTTTTGGTGTAGTTGTAAATTTAAATATATAGGTATAAATTAAAAATAGTTAAGTGATGGCTTAAAGCCTTATTGCCTCATCTTTCCAAATGACAGAATTCAGAGTCAGTCACCTTCATCTAGGAGGCTTATAGAAATTTAGTTTAAAAGAACAGATGTGAGCCAGCAGTTTAGCATGACTAAAGTTGCTTGTCACCAAGCCTGATGACCTGAGTTTGATCCCCAGGACCCATGCTGTTTCAAAAGGGGGGATGAGCTCCCACTAATTGTCCTTGCTCTTATTACATGCTCTGTGGTACTGACATGCACACACAAAAAAACATTTTTAGTGGTATTTTAAAATGAATAGATGTTGGTTGGGCAGGAGAGATGGCTCAGCAGTTAAAAAGCAAATATCCTTCCAGAGGCCCTGAATCTGGTTCCTAGTACCCGTGTCAGATGGACCACAACCACCTTTAACTCCAGCTCCAGAGGTGTTTCATAGCTTTTGCTTTTGCAGGCACCTGTACTGTGTGCATATATGCACACAGACAAGATTTTTTTTTCCCCAAGACAGTGTTTCTCTGTATTGCTTTGGAGCCTGTCCTGGAACTCACTCTATAGACCAGGCTGGCCTCAAGTGCTGGGATTAAAGGCATGTCCTACCAACACCTGACAAGATTTTTTTTAAGTAAAACAAATCTTTAAAAGTAGAGTGGGGGGGCTGGAGAGGTGGTTCAGTTAAGAGAGCATACTGCTCTTGCAGAGAACCTGAATTTGGTTCTAGCACCCACATCAAGTGACTCCAGCTCCAAATGATCCAATGCTCTCTTCTGAGCTCCAGGGGGTCCTGCCCTCTGTGCACGTAGCCATGTACAGACACACTTAGGTCCGCATAAACAAAAGTGAAATCCTGGAAAAGAAAAGAATAGATACGCACAGGGTTTTGTTGAACAATAGAAGTGGCTGCTGCTGGTGGTACTGGTCTGACCTGCGGCCCAGCCTATGTGTTTTCACAGTCACAGTTTTACTTTGACTAGTGTAGCAATTTGTCATGCCAGGTGGACTAATAAGATGTTATCTTTTCTCTTGTCAGCAAGCACAACAAAACCTGATGATCTTGGGTGAGTAATGCCTTGCAATATAGAAACCAAGACAATTTACATAGTTATGCAATTTATATAGTTGCTATTATTGATTAAACAAATATTTGTTGAAGACCTTGCCAAATGTCAGATTTTTCATAGGCATTGGGAGGATAACAGGGAACAAATAAAACACCAGATAAAATTGACATTCGGAAAAATTAATGTCAAAGAAGAAAGGTGGGTTTGCAGGTAGGCAATTTTATTCTAGGCTGAATCCCATTCAGTTATAGTATGTAATTCGCACTTCCATGCTAGTATTTGTTGATCTGGTCTGTATTTATCAAAGGTGTTGATCTGTGCTTTTCTTAGACTATCCAGTTTTGGTATAAGAGTGATTCATGACCTAACAGAATAAGTTGGTAAATAGTCCTTCCTCTCCTATTTTTTTGAGGAGAGTTTGTAAGGAATTGGTATGAATTCTTTCTTAACACTATGATAATATCCATTAAAACCACCTAACCTGGATTATCTCTAGTCCAATTTTTAAATTCTTAATTCAGTCATCTCTTATGGACATATTTTTTCAAATGGGATGTAGTTCATATTTTTCTTAACTGGTTTCTCCCTGTTTTCTTAGTCATAGTATTTGTCAGTTTGTTAGCCTTTCATTAATTCTTGCTCTAATACTTATTTATTCTTACTCTTAATCTTTAGCTTGCTCTGACTACTTCCTCTTCGTCCTGTCTTCCTTCTTGTTTGTTTGTTAGTTACCCAGGGCTTTGTGAGTGCTAGCAAGTGCTCTACCACAGAGCTACATCCCCAGATGGCTTCTTTGTTTTGTTTGCTGTTTGTTTTTGAGGCAGTCTAACTTTACAGCCCTGGCTGTCTTGAACTCACAGCTTGCTCACCAGGCCCAGCCTGTTTGTTAGTTGTTTGAAACAAGATCTTAAAAGGACCCAACCTAGCCTTAAACTTGTGGTCCTTCTGCCTTCCCTCCTAAGTGCTGGACTGTAGAAGAATGTACCACCACGTCTAACTTCTTGTTCTCTATGTATGATCTTAAGGTGGGGCTAAGTGATTTGAGACTTTTGTCTGTTTATTTCTCATGTTTTTGAGACAGGGTCTCATAAGACCCAGACAGATCCCAAGCTTGCTGTGTATCTTGACTAAATTTGAACTCCTGATCCTGGTGCTTCAGCCTTCCTACTGCTAGGATTACAGGCCTGAACCAACCACACCTGGCATAAGCTTGTAGCTGTAAAATTCCCCTTGAACACTATTAGTATGTTTTGTTTGCATTTTTTGGTTCATCCTACATTGTTTCCTAATCCATGATTTCTCTTTAGAACTATTGGTTACATAGGAATATATTGGTTAATTTCCGAGTATGTGTATCTTAAATTTCCTTTTTTTTTTTTTTTTTTGGTTAGAAAGTGTGTTGCATATTATTTCAGTTCCTTTAAATGTGTTAAGACTTGATTTTAGTGGCTCCATTAATTTCAGTAGTATGTATTACAATGTTTTTCAAAAACAGCTATGTATTGGTGTCTCCTAGAATGCTTATTAAACAGTCAGATTCAAAGCTGGATGTGGTGACACACAGGCCTTTAATCCTAGCACTTAGGAGGCAGAGGCAGGTGGAAGTGGGTCTGTATGAATTTGAGGCCAGCCTGGTCTACTGTAGCAAGACCTTGTCTCAATGCATAATTGTAATAATAACTATTATTATTACATTTTATAATAAAATTTATAATCTATATTGGAATTTTAGATGTGTTATACATTTCTATATATTGTAGAAACATAATAATTATTGCAATAAAATCAGATTCAGAACATACATACAAACATACCTTTGCATGGAGTGTAGGTCGATAGGTCTGTCTGTCTGTCTGTCTGAATTAGAACTTCTTCAAAAGGGGTTTGTTATTTTCAGATGCTAAGTAGTATTTAAATTTGTAGCAGTGCATGTTTAGTGTGTAGTTGTACTACAGTACCCATGTGGAGATAAGAGGACAGCTTGTAAGAGCTGCACCATATGGGTTCTAGGGATTGTATCCATGCTGACAGGTGCCAGTCTTGGCAGCAAGCCCCTTGACCTGCTGGGCCATCTTTCTAGCCTTTGAATTTTCCTATTCAGTTTTCTTCACGTGAAACTGTTAGAGCCAGGTTGTGATTAGTGATCCATTACAGAAACACTTTGTGTTGTGAACAAGGACTCTTGAACAAGGACTAAAATGAATATGGAGTTGGGAGGAAGTGAGGGTTTCTACTGTAAAATATCAGATTAAAAAGTAAATTTTTGTTCCTTTCTGGGCTATCTGCTTTGGGCTTTTTGTTTGTTTTTCTTTTGAGTTATTTAGAAGATATGCTTGCAAGGAAATTGAGAAGGAAGGTTGGCTTCGGTGTTTTAAAAATAGTGTTGTTTGTTTATTTAGTAGATTATATCTTGCTTTCTTGAAACATACTAGGACATGACATTTCACCTTAAAGATATGCCATGAAAGTAGTAGATAGAGAAAAAAAATATTTAAGCAGTGACATGATGTGGAATAATTAAGGTTTTTTTATTTGCAAAGTTAAAATTTCTTCTCCAAGATGTTCTGAAATACAGATTTTTAGTCACAGCATAGTGAATATAGACATAGTCTCTTTTCTAGAATTAAAGTTAATTTCACGTTAGTGTATAAGTGTCATTGTCTCTTCATTAGTGATGCTTTTGACCCTAGAAGACCACATAAACAGGCTATTTAAGAAATGATGGAGAAAAAAAAGAAAGAAAGAAATGATGGCCCAGGCAGGGCAGTGATGGCACACACCTTTAATCCCTGCACTCGGGAAGCAGAGGCAGGTGGATCTCTGTGAGTATAAGCCCACCTTGATCTACAGTGCCATACACGCTCCAAAGCTTCACAGAGAAACTCTATCTTGAAAAACAAACAAAAAAATGATGGCCCTTTGGAGGAAAGGGAAGGGAGAAATATTACAATTATAATTTCAAAATTTGTAAAAGACTAAGTTGGGTGACTCACAGCTCCAGATGATCTGAGTTGTCCTCCAAGGACACATATACTTATATGTATTACTTATACAAAGACAAATGCACCTATACATTAGTAAATCTTAAAGTGTGTTTGTGTGTGTGTGTGTGTGTGTGTGTGTGTGTGTGTGTCCCCTGAAGGTTACTAGGTACCTACATCTCTTTTATACAATCTTGGGAAAACCTGAGTTTGAACTGGCATGTATGACCTTTCCTCTTGCCCTTGTGGTTCTCTTTGCATGAATGGTTTTGCTCCAGTGGACCATAGAGAACAGTGCCTTTTTTTTTGTGTGTGTGTGTGTCTAACTATTCGACCTAAAACATTTCTCAACCTTGTACTTTGCTGTTTCATAAAATATACCCAGTTTAAATAACAGGTTTATAAATTGCTGGTGTCAGTCTCTCCTCATGAGGTTCCACTAAAAGTACATTTAGAGAAGGTAGTGTTTTAAAGGATAGTTGATGTACATGGTTACTACTACTGTTCTCTTTTTCTAAATGGAGAGGCCTTGGTATGATGCAAAGGCTAGCTCCAATGACCTGAACTTGAGACTCTCCTATTTGAGCTCCCTTCTCACTGAGTGGTGGGACTATAGGCATATGCTGTTATACCTGGGTTAGAGGCAGCATAAAACAGGACAGGAAAGAAAATTAAGTAGAGGCTATCTATGAACAAAAAGGGTCAGTGGTCCTTTACAAAGTCCTTCTTCTTTAAGATGCCCTGAATATGTTCACAAACCAAGTGAAGGGGAGTCTTAGCCAGTCAGTGTATGACAAAAATGGCTCTGGCAGGCCTTGACCTTCTCCCCAATTTCCCTCTGCCTTGCTAAAAACTTCTAGATTACATTCCTAGAGCTAGCCATGAGGTCTATTCCCTTATTTGACTCCTTTCTCCTTCTGAGACTGACTACCAAGATCCAGATAGTAAAGTATTGAAATCCAGTAATCAAAAGCCCCCTTTGACTGCCCTAATTAAGATGCCTAATTAAAATTAAACATCTCATTCTAACATAGGGTTTCTCCCTTTACCTTTATAAACATTTTTCCTATGTGTCATATCTGTCTCTCCTATATCTAGAGGCAGTCCTATCTCCCCCCCCCCCCCCCCCCCAATCCCCCTCTTAATTGTTCTTTTTTCCTTCTCCTTTGTCCTCTGTCTCCTGTGTTTGTCTCTTATTCCCTCCCCTTTGTCCCTCTCCTTAGGGCTGAGAGTGTCTTGTGCCAAAGACTAACTAACCTTAATTGTCTCTTCATTAATGGTGCTTTGTTTGTTTCTGTCTTTGTGGTACTAAACATAAACCCAGGGCCTCCTGGATGCTAGACCAGCATTCTACCAGTGAGCTATATCCTAAGCCCTACTTTTTAATTTTAAGAAATTATGAGAAAAATAGTGTATTCTAAACAGGAAGTTTTGATTTAGTTAATATGGCTTATTATGAGAGATGTTTTTCTCAAGTTTAAATTATTTGATTTTTTTTGGGGGGGGGGGTAGGCTACTACTGAAGTTATTCCCAGCTGAAAGAAATGTTTGAAAGTAACAAAGGAACTATAGAGTCATTGAAGCTAACTTCTGCTCCAAGTAGGCTTAGGCGGACTTAATGTGTAGACTATTATGTCACTTTGACCAGGATACCATAGTCTGGGAAGAGCAAAAGGGAAGAGAGAGCTGGGAATCAAACTTGGGTCTCCTGGAAATCCAGCACCCTTAATAATAGTCAATGAAAGTGAAGACACAACATATCCAAACCTATGGGACACTTTGAAAGCAGTGCTGAGAGGAAAGTTCATGGTGCTAAGTGCCCACATGAAGAAACAGGAGAATAATCACACTAGAGAATTAACAGCACAACTGAAAGCTTTAGAAAACAAAGAAGCCAATACACCCCAGAGGAGCAGATGAAGGAAATAATCAAATTGAGGGCTGAAATCAATAAAATGGAAACTAGGAGAACAATACAAAGAATCAATGAAACAAAGAGTTGGTTCTTTGAGAAAATCAACAAGATAGACAAACCTTTATCCAAACTTACCAAACAGCAGAGAGTGAACATGCAAATTAATAAAATCAGGAATGAAAAGGGGGACATAACAACAGACAAAGGGGAAATCCAGAGAATCATCAGGTCATACATTGAAAACCTATATTCCTCAAAATTCGAAAATCTAAAGGAAATGGATAATTTTCTGGACAGATTTCACTTACCAATATTAAATCAAGAACAGATAAGCAACTTAAATACACCTATAGCCCCCCCCAATGAAATAGAAACAGTCATCAGAAGTCTCCCAACCAAAAAAAGCCCAGGGCCAGATGGCTTCAGTGCAGAATTCTACCAGAAATTCAAGGTACAGCTAATACCAATTCTCCTCAAAATATTCCACACAATAGAAGCAGAAGGGTCATTGCCAAACTCTTTTTATGAGGCTTCAATAACCTTGATACCCAAGCCACACAAAGACACAACTAAGAAAGAGAACTACAGATCAATATCCTTCATGAACATTGATGCAAAAATTCTCAATAAAATACTGGCAAATCGAATCCAAGAACACATAAGAGAAGTCATCCACCATGATCAAGTAGGCTTCATCCCAGGGATGCAAGGATGTTTCAAAATCCATCAATGTAATCCACCATATAAACAGACTGAGGGAAAAAAACAAACAAACCACATGATCATTTCACTAGATACTGAAAAAGTGTTTGACAAAATCCAACACCCCTTCATGATAAAGGTCCTGGAGAAATCAGGGATAACAGGAACATACCTCAACATAATAAAAGCAATATACAGCAAGCTGACAGCCAAGATCAAATTAAATGGAGAGAAACTCAATGCAGCTCCTCTAAAGTCAGGGACAAGACAAGGCTGTCCACTCTCTCCATACCTCTTCAATATTGTCCTTGAAGTTCTAGCTAGAACAATAAGACAACCAAAGGAGATCAAGGGAATACAAATCGGAAAGGAAGAAGTCAAACTCTCACTATTTGCAGATGATATGATAGTCTACATAAGTGACCCGAAAAACTCTACCAGGGAAGGGGAAAGGGTCAAGATCCCCTGAGCAAATTGAGAGCACGGGAAGAGGCAGGAGGGAGCTAGGAGAATGAAAAGGGAAGAAGAGGAGGAATGCAGAGGACATGAAGGAGGAGAAAGGTTGAGTCAAGGGAAGAATAGAAGATAATAAGAATAGAGATACCATAATAGAGGGAGACATTTTAGGTTTACAGAGAAATCAGGCACTAGGGAAATGTCTGGAGATCTACAAACATGACACCAGCTAACAATCTAAGCAACAGAAGAGAAGCTACCTTAAATGCCCTCCCCTGATAATGAGATTGATGACTGACTTATATGCTACCCGATAGCCCTCATCCAGCAGCTGGTGGAAGTAGAAGCCGACACCCACAACTAATCACTGAACTGAACTGGAAGCCAGTTGCAGAGAAGGACGAGTGAAGAGCCAAAGGGTCCAGACCAGGCTGGTGAAACCCACAGAAACAACTGACTTGAACATCGGGGAACTCTTGCTCCCCAGACTGATTGCTGAGATACCAGCATGGGACTGATCCAGACCCCAGGAACATGGATTTCATTGAGGAAACCTTGGAAATCTACAAGACCTCCTGTAGTAGTTCAGTACTTATCCCTAGCATAGGTGTAGACTTTGGGAGCCCATTCCACATAGAGGAATACTCCCTGAGCCAAGACACACAGGGTTGGGCCTAGGCCCTATCCCAAAGGGTATGATAGACACTGATGACACCCTATGGAAGGGCTCACCATCCATCCAGGGGGAGCAGATAAGATATGTGATAGATAGGGTTTTAGTTGAGGGGGTGGCACTAGGGGAGGACGGGAAGGGGAAGAGAACTGGGATTGTCATGTAAGACAATCTTGTTTCTAATTCAAATAAAATCTGGGAAAAAAAATCAGATATGGGGAAGAAGACCAATTAGCTTCTCAACTTGTGAATCACAGTCCCTTTTCCAGTCAAATGACCCTTTCACAGGGGTGGAATATCAGATATTCTGCATATCAGATATTTACATTCTGTTTCATAACAGCAAAATTACAGTTATGAAGTAGCAGTGAAATAATTTTATGGTTGGGGGCCATCACAACACGAAGAACTGTATTAAAGGGTCACAGCATTAGGAAGGTTGAAAACAACCGAGTGAGGTTAAATAAATTTGTTAAAGCTCTTCATGAAGGTCTAGAAGAGAGAAATTTGAAGGTTCTGAATATAAATGATACTAGGATGGGAATGCTCAATACCCTGTTTGGCTCAAGACACTTGATAGGCATGTGTTGAAAGATTCCTGGTAATGTAAGGCCCAATTAAAATGTGTGTATATGGAAAATACAAATGGCCATAGAAATACAAGTATTTGATAGTAATTATGACCATTGTAGCTTGAGAAACCATCAAAATAATTTTGCTAGAAACAAAACATTAACATCGCTGGTGCTGCTTTGAATAGTATATGTATAATCTTAGAAAGTAAAGCCATTGGGCATGGTTTAATCTCAGCACTCCAAAGGCAGACAGATCTGAATTTGAGGCCATACGGATCTACATAGCAAATGTCAGATCAGCCAGGACTATGTAATAAGATCCTCTCTCAAAAAAAACCAAAAAATTAGAACATAGTAACCTGGAATTTTGTATGTAGGGTTTTTTAACCTGTAACGATTTATTTTATTAGTAATAAAAGAAAGACTGTAATTATACATATACTACATAAAAATAAAAGTTAATGTAAAATTACAGCTAAGCTTTATGTGTGTGTGTGTGTGTGTGTGTGTGTGTGTGTGTATACACATATGTCAGACTTTTCAAAAGACTACACAATTATGCTCTTGGATTTCATTTTCTCAATGATTCAAGCATGGATTTAAGTAAACGGTTTGTAATTAATTAATTTGGGTCTATATTCATGTTTGTTTGACTAACTTTTTTTAAAGGTTATATTTTAATTACATTGTTCCCTTCCCTCCAAATCCTTATATATATTAAGTTTTTTTAATAGGTTTTCCCTCTTTATTATAGTGTTCATTATGCTTCAGCCCAGAATAATGACGCCCAACAGGTAAGACAATAGTATCTAAAACTCCAGAGCACATTGTTAATTTTAGTGACTGTCAGTGCTATTAGTTGGATTTTTTGTAGTGTGTGATATTTTACAAGTTTTGTATATTTCTTACTCCTACTACTTCTCCTCGTTTTACTAAAATTCTGTGAGTAAAATATGATCTGTAAAACATTTCTGTTACTGTAAATCTGGGGCATCAGTACATTGTGAATGTTCATTTATTATCTAAAATTAGTATACTAAAATTCAAACATTTATGTGCCAAATAGATTTATGTAGTTGTATTTCTTGGTGTTGGTATTTGTGTTTGTTAGTATTTGACTTTATAGGCAAAACAAATGAATTTTATGATTTTTGTCCAAAGGCTTGGGGTGTGAGGTCTCCTGTGCCTATGAATCCTTCCTCATCCTCTGGTCCGGTGCTGGTGGAGATAGAGAATCTTTCACAGAATTCTGCAGCAGACCAACATGACAGGAAATGGTTTGTTAACCTCCTAAACCAAAATATTGCTTGTGTAATTATATTCTAAACTTTTAAGCTATAATCTTAAAGCACTTTAAATGTGATTGAAAACAAATTATTCATATTTGTGAGCCGAAAAGGAGCAGACTGAGCAGTCAGGGATGGTGAGCATAAGGTTTGTGGATGAAGAAGGGAGGACAGTTGTCTAAAGGCAGAATATAAGACAGCTGGCTTTACTTTCATTAGTGTGATCTGGGTGTGGCTGATTAAAGTCTTAAAAAAAAGAGAAAAATTCCAGTTTGGAGAGCTAGAGAACTAGTTCAATGAAAGTAAAACTATTTATATAAACAGCAAACACACAAATATGGATACTTTGTGGCCTGTTGGATTCAATCAGTTGGGTTTGTGCTTTCCTGGAAAGCCATGTGACTTGGGGAGGGTTCCTTGGAAGTGATTGATCCTATGGATATATCATCTATTCAGGCTTTGTGTCTGTTTATTGGATGCACTTGGATGATCGTGGTATTTTTCTCTCTTATCTTGCTCTTAGTTTATTAATACTTGAAACCTAATGTGTTTCTGTGGTGATCTCAAGGTTTGGGTCGGCTTTCTGTGTAGCCAGTTCTTCCTTCATGGTGGTGGGTCGGCAGTGGTTGGTGACTATCTCTGGTCTGTGCTGTGTAATCTTTCCACTGGTATCGTTGGCTTAACTAACGACAGGATGCTTTGCTTGTGATGGCTGGGTATATTTTATTTCAGTTCCAGATAGCTTGCGGTTAAAATCGAGGGGGGATATCTCCCTTGTTTTGTTCCAAATATATATAAATATTTGGGAACATGATATAGAGTATTGAGGTGTGTATATGCATGTACATACCAAAGGAATAACAAGTGAGGCCTACAAATGTCAAATTTTAGTCTTTAAGACATTATAATTTTCAGTTTCTTGATGAAGATCACAGCCCAGCAAGCAGTTATGCTCCATCTTTTTAATGTGCCACTGAAGCCCATTGTCACATAAAGAGAGTAACCAGACTTCAGCTGTAAAAGAACTGTCTTAATATATACATGTCTTTCTACTCAGCGGTGGTGGCACATGTCTTTAATCCCAGCACTCAGGAGGCAGAGGCAGGAGGATCTCTGTGAGTTTGAGACCAGCCTGGTCTACAAGAGCTAATTCCAGGACATGCTCCAAAGCCACAGAGAAACCCTGTCTCCAAAAACAAAAACAAAAAAAATCAACTATATACATATATGTGTATGTATGTCTGTCTTTAATACCAAGTAAGAATCTGATTAGTTTACATCCTATGTTATGATGCTAAGTCTTTCTTGAGTTCCATTTTAATGAGTACATATTTAAATCTGTTTAATTTGATTTGTTAGGCACTACCAGTTCTTTTGGTGTAGCCTTTAGAGAATATTGAATTTGAGTTTCAAGAAAAATGAAAAAACCGTGGAGCCGTGTGTCCTCTGCCTTTATATTGGTTATGCTGATACCTCCTTTGCTGAAATGGAGTAGAGATGACCCTGAAAACCTGACGAGCCTCAGAGTATGTTAGCAGGGCATGGACCTGAACACACACTGACATGTCTTAGAACTAGTGATTCTCCTGCCTTAATGTAAAGTGCTTTCTGCCTCCCATTCTCTGTTTCTGCATGCTTGGATTTCAGAGACTAGAAAACAGTCCTCCTTTAGAAAGAGGTGACAAAATGTGGAAACTGATGACTAGTGACAGCACAGAGTGTGGAACATCTTACTCTGGGCAGATGATTTGGAGCCAATTTAATTGAAGCCTATTTCCTGTTCAAGTCTTTGCTTTTCCCCAAAAATCTTAAATGAAACCATGAACTAGGTGAATGATTTAAAATGTCAGTCACTTAGAATTTGTTAAGGTATTTCATATCACTTGGAACACATAAATTGTTTATTAACAAGAAGTCAGATGACAGTGGCATGTGCTTGAGAGGCTAAGAATAGAGACTCTACTGAGTCCAGCCTGAACAACAAAGTAACCGTATCTCAAAATAAAATAAAGCATGCCTATAATCTCAGTGCTTGAGAAGAAGGTGCGGGTAGATCATGATCCCAGGCCAGGCCAGCCTGGCTATGTAATGAGACCCAACCCTATCAAAAAACAAAAAGAAGTAGAACTTAGAAAATTTTGCATCTATAAACCAGAACATAAGCCGAATTTAATTTCTAAATTTTTAGAGATTCTAAATTAAGGGTCATAAATTTTGTTTATTAGGTCTGATGAGCAAGTTGAATTTCAGTGGAAGCAAATAAAATTATGTTAGTAGTTAGAAGCAAACAACATACCTTCCATGTTTGTTTTGGAAAATCTTTTCAGTTCCCATGAGCAAATAGATTAAAAATTAAGTTAATATTTCATTGAATTTGAAAAATAATACTTTTTAAATCTAGATTTTTAAGTACCTTTGTATTTGGAATGATCTTTTTTCCCTTGGTAGTTAAGTGAATCATGTGCTGATCTTGTCACATCACAAAAGTTTGGTTTTTGAGCCATAGAAGGTTTTTTCTTTCTACTGGAGGACTCTTGTGATTCCATCCAGAACTGCATGTGTCCATGCTGTGCATGTCTGTGCATGTCTGTGCATGTCTGCCCTCTAATTCCCCTATGCTTGTAGCACTTCTTGCACTCTATCTGTGCCTGTTGCATTTCAGTTTGTACTCCTATGAACTTTGATTACAGAAAGCACAATAATTATTGATAATTTGAAGCATTAATGTAAGCTTGCTTGATGTTTTTGGTTTTTGGTTTTTTTTAATACTCCTGAATTTTGTTTCCTGGATTATACTTTTTTAAAAATCATGTAAGTTTGGAGATCATTTTTATAATTGCCCTTTCCATATATGTCTTCGTATTTCAGTAGAATTCCTTCTAATATTTGAATAAAGCTTTACATAGAATTTTTTTTTACTAGAATTCCAAACAATATTTCTATCTAGGAGCGTCCCAGCAACAGCAGGGATAGATTTTCCTTCATTAATTAATTCACTTAACTGATTCCAGTTACATGTGTTTTCATATTGGTGCTTTCCATTACATGAACCATGTAACTGTATTTCCCCCTCTACTATTTTTGAATGTTGCCATTGCATGGTAACTGCTCACCATGGTGGTGCATGCTGGTCACATTACCTTTCTCCTTTACACATCCATGTTCTCTATTCCTGTTGACTAACTGTACTCCCCACTCCTCAACCATCTAGGCTCTCTGCTACCAGTGACTGCTGTCAACGTGGTGGAAACCAGTGGAGCACAAGGGCCTTGTCCCCACCCCAGACTGCACATAGAAACTACACTGACTTTGTACTTGAGCACAATGTGAAGAATGCAGGAGTCCATCATGATGCTCATTTTTCTGGCCGTGCAGCCATGACCGAGATATGAGTTGTTAACGCCTTTTAGGCCATGGAACTCTGTCATCCAGGTTGATAATGTATTTTATGGTGTTTATGGAGGACTGATTCCATTAGGAGTATTGGAAAGAATTTATTTCATACTGAGTCACTAGTTTTATATAGTGCTGTGGTTGACTTCTGTGTAAGTTAACAGGATCTGAAGAAGCTGTAAACTGTCACAGATGATGGCAGGTATTGCCATGTTGAAAGGGTATGCATACCACTGTGGCCTTGAGAAGGTTTTCATAAGTTTAGCATTAGCACATCTCGAATAGTGTCTCTTAGGATGTTCATGTTTAAACTGTCACTTGTCATCCTACCACATGTCTTCAAAGTAGACAGAGTTTAAAGAATAAGACACAAAAGTAACCATGTTCTGTCATGGTGTACTGGCCTTTTGTGGTGCTATAACAATACTGTTCTCACATACTGCTTTCTAAAGTGACCTGTGCCTTAATTTCAGCTAAGTACCTGCGGTTTTAATAAAAATTTACTATGCTTTATGTGTTTTGCTTCTGCAGGTCTAGAAACTATAGTAACACTATGGTTCATGTAGAGACAAGAGTGAGTGGTTACATTACTAGCAGATGGTTATACCAATTGCAAAATGGAAAGCTTTCTTTACTCCTTACTTTTTTCTTTGTTATTGAAAATCCTTGACAGATCACGCTAGTTTGTAACACCTTTATAATCTGGCCTTATACAGCCTTTAAAATAAAGTTTTGATGTCCAAATGGAACCATTTCATGATGGGTTGCATATATTTCACACTTTTAGTCCTTTTTGAGCTTTGCAATATAGTTAATTCAAGCTTTTTTATTTAATCCATTGGAAGCAAACTAGTTAACTGGTAAAGTACATTTCTGATGATTGAGACACTACTGAAAAGAAGCAGTATTTCCTCTTACAATTATTTTAAATTGTGAGAAATTTTCTGAACTTTATATACAGAGAAATTTGAAGATTTATATTGAGAATTGTTGATTTTTTGAAATAATGAAGCTTTGTTATAAACAATGTACCATTGAACTGTTCTGGCTTATCTCAGAGGTTGGCTTCATCCTATGGGTTCTCTTGCTGGGCAGTGAAGACAACTTCAGAGGGCTACTGTTGCAGATATATAATAGGGCTTGTCTGTAGAAGACAAGTGTGTAGCCTAAAACATTTAGAACATGAAATTTGTAGGAAAGTCTTGATCTGCTTTATCATCATATAAGGGGATCCTTGCCTAAATTTATTATAGATAGATAGATAGATAGATAGATAGATAGATAGATAGATAGAGAATGGATGTTCAAAATACTAACATATCCTGAATAAGAGCAGTTGTGTATCTTAGCCCAACCTTTTAAGACAATCACCATCTAGTATGCTTTAAAACTGCACTAATAGATAACCCTCAGAGGGTGTTGTGTTTTTGTTGTTGTTGTTGTTTTTGCTTGCATTATAGTTACTAAATACTCTCTATGGTCCTTTTTTTTAATTTTTAAGACTTTTTTATTTTTGTGAATGGGTGTTTGACCTGCATGTATGTCTGTGTAACTGTGTGCCACAGTAGTGTGGTGCCTCTGGAGGCCTGAAAAGGTAT